TTAGTCCTATTTTCTTGGTATAGTTGCATCACAAACAGAAGGCAGCAAATTTAATCCCCGAGCCGGCGGCGCGAAGCGCCGTGCGAGGGTACTAATCCACCCCCGGGCTATTTGAAACAACTAAACAAGGGCGTATATGAAACAACTAAACAAGACAGCATATATAAATTTCAGTGTAACTTTAATATTGATTCCCTTTTTTATTATATTGAATTTTTTAAATAAAAAATAAAGCAAAGACCAAAGTTATTTGCAAGCGAGAATTTGAAATCATTTTATTGCAAACTCAAAGTTTATCGATAAAACCATTTAATAGTTAAAGGCAGTTTAGTTTTATAAAGAACACTTTAAAACGTTTTGTGAATTGTTTGTGGTTGAATTTTACCTTAAATTGAAGCTTGTATTACGTATAATTACATACCCAACATATATATGTTGGGAAATTGATAATTTTGTAATTAAAAGTGATATTTTTAGGCGATTTTCATTTGTAAGAATATTCTTAAAAAAATATCGTGTTACCATGACAACTACTCTAGATACATCCTGTTCGGAAAATACAACGGTTTTGTCAGCAAGGCGAGGGTTTCTGCATGCATGTATTTTCTAGTTTTGAAATGGCTTGTTCTATAATGTCTGCAAGAATTTTAGAATTAGAATTATGTAACCCAAACGACGGCAGTAAGGCCAACAAAATTCAAATTAAAAATATTTAAACCCATCTCCATTATGAATGTGGCTTTCCCGACAGATATCTCTATAGCAGTAAGGGCCATACAGAATTTATTTTATCCCTGGCCAATTTTGAAGCACCTCTTATATTGGTGTGATAAAACTCCAGCTCCGCTCGGAATTTTGCCATAAAAGGTTGCTGCCCCGCACTATTGTCAGTAAAGAAAGCTTGTGTAGCCTGTTCTTACCGCAGAGTTGCTTACCATGTACAGCTAGAGGAAATCGCTGAAATGTGCGGGAGGTCTTACACTGCGATAAAGAGAATCAACCGCGTCCGGGCCTCTCATTTGTAGTTATTTGATCTCTTCATCGGACGAAGATTCTGCCACTGACGAATAGAACAAGGCATTTCAAACTTCTGTGCTGACACATGATGCAATAATACATTCATCAGGTGTGTGCCACACCTTGCAAGACAGAAAAAATATTTGTTCCCCCGCTTCTATGCAGTTGCAAGGCAGAAAGAATCTGTGTGCCCCACTTCTATTCAGCTCAAAAAAGTATGTGCCCCGCTCCCTTTTACTCCGGCCCCATATAAAACAAATTTTGCATGGCCTCTAAAACCTACAGTACCTGGTGAGCGTGTGAGGGAGTTAGTTGCAGTGTTCGTCTTGCATGGCACACCTCGATATTTCCAGTTTTCACAATAATACGCTGTTCGTAAGGGAAACAGAGAAAAATATTGAAAAAATACAAATATAAAAGTACACTGGACAAAATATAGTGAAATCCATGCTACGGAATATGCAATTACATTACTAAATCCATAGTATATTCATATTATTTCGATACTATACCAATTGTATGGAAATTACAATTAGTACGAAAATTCAGTCTCCATAATATTTCCAACGAAAATCCATACTATTTCCATGGTAAGGATTTTGAAAAAAAATCAGTGATATTGTGATTAATCTGCTCAGCTGACTCCCTTTCTTGGAGATGGAGATTTATTGAGGAGGGAGGTGTTTTGATATTATACAATAAACGATATATATAGTTCCGAATGGCTTTACTATAACTGCGAAAAATCGCTTCACCATTGACAAAACTAATCAGGAAAGCGAAACAATTTTCTCACACGTGAGAACAACTTTCGTCCAATCAAATCATACAAGGTATGAGAAAATTACCCAAAATTATCACGCAAATACTGAAATTAACGCGAAAACGAATTAACGCGTGGGAAAATAACACACGCGTCAATACTCCCCGTAAATAAAACTCACCATTATCCATCATGACAGAAAAATATGCCAATAAAGAATCAGTAGTTGCATTCCCGCAAGCAGTGTAATACGTGAGATCAACCGCTTTCAATAATCCCTCGCTAGTAACACCAACCTATAGGGTGAACGACAGCTAAGCTAACATAATTTGCACTAGAGATAGCGCCATCTGTTATACACAGAGTTTTCCCTAGAGGTACAGCAAAGACAATTTAACATTTAATCGCTCATGAGCGGTAAGTAGTGTACAGGCTCATTATCTTCTAATCACCGTACTGAACCTTTGGTAACCTTTGGTTGTGTTAGTACAAAAGTCGAGTCAAAATTAAATACAAATAATTATTGTAAATCAGATAATTGAAAGGTTTCGAAATCAGATGTGAGGGCTGCCAAGGGTTTCAAGAGATCAAGGAAACATAGTCAAATCTTTGCGGGTACAAGGAAAAACTTTTCAAGTAAACACGGGAATACAAAGACTACCAAAAATAACTTGATTGGGAAATGTTCTTTTTAACAGGCAGCCACAAATTTTACTTCGGGAAAAATTTGTAACAACATGGATAAAAAATATTTTAACGAATTGAGCCCAGAAAAAAAATTCATGCTAATAAATAGGGTAAAGACGAAGTTATACTAAAGTTTATACTCTCGTAATTTTGTTTACAATTATTGCTACAGCTTCGTGAATACAATAATATTTCCAGTCACTCCAGTATAAGCAGTCAATACCCAAACGTTTGACCGCAGTGTTGGTTAAAGAATCTATACCTTGTACTTCGCGAGATAAGGAAATCTTTTTCCAACCATTTCCATGTTGGTTTTGAAGTTCATTCGAAGTCGTACTGGCCTGAAATACAGATTAAAAACATGTCTGATAATGATATGTGTTCATTCAAGGCCGTCGGTAGCTAGGGTCAGTAATAACCTTCAGTAATATCCTCATCCAGGATAACTTCATTACAGACTTGAATACTTCACTTCTTTCTTCCACAGGCAGTTACAATAATCTCATCTGTACAGATTCTCGTTACATTGACATTGTGTATATATCAACAGGAACAAAAGCAATTCATTTATGATTGTAATTGTATACAGGGTGACCGTTGTTTCAAAACTGGGGACGAAGTTGTACAAAGGTATCACGTGTTTTACAAAATGTTGAATTTTTAAATGCAAAAACTTCACAACTTTCATCAAATTTCCTGTTAGGGAATACGGAAGAACGGCTCCTCTGAGGGTTCGAAAACGCAGAAATTGTCAGGGGCAGCATGCCTACCCGGAGCAATGGCGCAGCTAGCCATCGAAACTGGTCATAGTGTGTTAAAACACCGGCATGTAATAGGTTAAAGTGCCTATGCGACAATTTTTTATGATTGAATTGCAACGTTCATTTAAAATCATAGTATAACTAATCATAGTAAAACATTGTAATCTTTCCTGTATGTCAAGATTTTCGACTTTGTTAATTGATATACAAATGTGACTTAAATGACGTCACACTTCATAATGAGTTTTTAGAAAGAAAGCGTTGACGTTTCGTTGTCAAACATTTGATAACTCCATTAACATTGAAAGTGATATACTTTAAGAGCTATCAAAGCGATCATTTCATCTGTAAATTTGAGATAATGAGAATATTAGCAAGCTACAACACAGTCTCCTGTAAAACGCATTATGCAGTGTGACGTCATTTAAGTCACATTTGTATATCAAACAAAGTCGAAAATCTTGACATACAGGAAAGATTACAAAGTTTTAGAAAACAAGTTATACTATGATTTTAAATGAACTTTGCAATTCAATCATAAAAAAAATTGTCGCATAGCCACTTTAAATACAACACATTTATAAATATTTGAACTAAGGTGCGCGTTGTTGTATACAATCGAATCCCTATTAAGCGGACACGTTCGGGGTCTCACCAATTTGTCTTGGAAGTGGTAACCGCTTTATAGAGGTTTGTAACAGCGAACACATCAGGAGGTAACGCTTGGCTAATTGTGGAAGAGTAGTGAGTGAAGGTAAACCAGTGGCGTAACTACTATCGGCTCAGACCGGGAGAACCGGGAGAACCCCCAACTCCAATTGGCCAAATGGGGACCAGGGGCCCCCAGGCTTAGGCGATAGAGCAAAAACATTCGCCAGGGCCTCTGATATGTTACAATATCGTTTTCTGACCATCAGAATTCTGTAAAATCTCTCCCCAAAGTCCAGGAAATGCATTTCAGAGAGTCTAGATTCAAAAACTCGTGCATATACGGCGCTCGACTCGTGCCTTTGGCACTTCTACGGGGGTGTTGAATATTTTGAACCGGGAGTCCCCTGATATAACGTTACGCCACTGAGGTAAACGTGTCAACAGGACTTGTGATGCTGTGTAGCTCGAGTTCAAGTTTCGAAATACATTTCTGGTTGGTGAAGTTGGGGAAAGGAAGCATCGACAACACATGAACATTTAAACTCGAGAAGAAAAAATAGTCAAATTAACAACAGATGAAAAAGGTCATCTCTTGAAAGTTACCTGTTCATGACGTAGGCAGCCACGGCACATGCTGTTGAGTTGACTGAACCACGAATTGCTTTCCCGCCATAAGCTCCACCACATCGCTTACATGTTACCTGTACACTAGAAAAAATCGAGTGAAAACATGGAATATATTCCACTTCCTTATTAAATAATTTACATATCACGTTCAAATATGGCTTCAACAATGCAACATTAAATAATTATATTACCAATTACAGTATCTCCCAATATTCCCTTCGTGCATTTCACTCAATAAACGCTACTCGTTTTTTATTTCTTGAATATAGACCAATAGTATAACTGAAACTCTGTACAAGTACAGAAAAGCAGGATGGGTAGGAACTTAAATCAAGCCAATATTGCACTTATCTAACTACTTCGACAGACTTTGTTTTGTTTTGTTTTGTTTTCATTGAGTGCCGCAAGTGAGAAGCGTAGCCGAGTGTTTTATCTATCCATTGAAATACATTGGAGTTATTTAAATTTTTGTTCGCCTAATCCCTTAATTACCACCTTGTCGCCTAATGATTTAGCAACACGTACACCTGTACAGCAACACAACTATAATGTTTTATGTATTTATTCCCTTCGCCATCTGAATCGTTACAGCTTTTCATTCATGTCTCTGACTAATGTCTTTTGTCCTTGCCCTATCTTAAACCACACCCCTTACTTATATATTAACTAATTAACTAATTGTATTAATATCAACACTACACTACAACAACATTTGAAAATACATTTAATACATAATTTATTGATGAAAATACATAATTTATTGATGATACACATAACAGTATAAAAATGTTAAGTTTGCTTGTGAAACCTTAAACAGATTTGAGAAATGTATATTCCTCGTACGCTTCCCTAGTATTGTTAAATGTCTCTCCTGTTTTTTCAATCTTGTATCGGTATTGTACTGGATTACTGAAAAGCACGATGCCAGTAGTGATCACACGAGGCTCTGATTGTTTCCCTTCGAAGAAACCACAATCATCGTCCTTTGAGCCGCAGTGGAACAACCGGTTTTGGTTAGGGCCATCTTTCTTGACTTTTCATTCACAGCACACCATTCCATGTTGACAGAGGTCTAGGATTTTCATATACATCATCCCACTGCCAAAATTTGCAGGGATTTTCTCCTCCAGAGCATACGAAGTGCGGCCGGCCGTAGTTTTGCTTCATCTTGTCTTTAACTGTAGGTAACTTTACCAATTTTTGATGTGGAGGGCATATGGATTGGTGAGGCCACTCTCAAATCTTCTACGGCTTTTGTGAAGACATAACAATCTTCATGTCGGCAAAGGAATTCACAGCTATGTTTTTGTTCACAGAACCAAATTAATACCACGATTCGATCCATGGTTAGAACAACGAAATACAGGCCCATATAGACCTAGCGCGATATGACAACGCGACGAGAATTTTCATTAAAAATTTTACAAGATATCCAGACCAAATAGCTAAAATTACTTAAGTGGTTTCGAGTATTTGAAAAACATATAAAAATACTGAAGTTAATTTACACGTGGCCAAGTCGCGTCTGGTCTATATGGGCCTTAATGCTCAAACTTTATAGCGACTTTAATTAAAAAGCGAATGCTATTGTGACAAAAATGCTGAGCTCAGCTTAATTACTTTCTTGCCCAGGCTCGCCTTGCATATCATTATGACGTAATGCGTGCGCACCCTCGTCCGCCTCTCTCCACCTTCCTCCGCATATTAATTACCTCCGTCTCATTTCAGCACCAAACTCCGCCACCACACACCGGCACCACACTCCGCCACCACACTCCGGCACCACACTCCGTCACCACACTCCGCCACCACACTCCGGCACCACACTCCGGCACCACACTTCGCCACCACACTCCGGCACCACACTCCGCCACCACACTCCGCCACAATACTCTGCCTCCCTCCGCCTCAAAAAAAAGGTCGAAGGCCTGGATATTAATAAAGACATTTACGACTTTGCGTTTGACTTGCGTTGGTAACAAGACTTTTCTTGCAAGTCCAAGACAAGTCACAAGTCATTGATCGGATTATCAAGTCAAATTACAAACATTGCGACTAGAGTCTATAACTCCGACTTTAACAACCAACCTTTTCGCTGGTATATTCAAAACCTGAGCTATTGCCATCTGAGTAGCATCAATATATTGCGTTGCAGCATAGACCTCCAACTCTTCCTCGCCAGGGATGCAAAGGCATGCCTAAACGTGTAGATGTTTTGACAAATTATGGGTGTGTTGGCTGTGAGGGCGACGAATTATATTTCTGCGTTTGTGCTAGCGATTGTATGCCGCCTGGAGAGGACAAGCATGGATTTCTAGATCTCTACAAGCACTTTTCCACCATCAGTATATGGTAGTTAAAATGCAATCTTCATGCAGTCACGACCCAGTTATAACAGAATATTGCATTGCCTAACTTTTTTTGCAAATAAACATTTTCTGCTGAATGGGAAATGGTTTGTGTAAAATTCAGTTCAAACAAACGTTCACTAGTATCTCTTGTATTTTCTGGTAAAATGTATTTTTATTATAAAAAGCATTATCGGAGGGAGGTGGGTCACATAACATTTTTCAACATGCTATAAGAATCTGCCACCCAATCTAATGTACAAATAACGAACGGTCTCATACTCCCGCAACTTAATGAAGATAAGTAAAGTACAAACGTGTGTTTCCATGTGAATGTGATGTTGCGTCCCCAATGAAATTTCTCCGCTGATGACATGCGCAGATGACGCCATTTCCCCTATGAAAATATAAAAATAATGATGAAACTAACAGACTAAAAAATTCACGCACGAAATATACAGCGATCGGCCACACACATAAAACTGGGGGAAAATAAAAGCGCGCGTTCAAACCACGCTCGCTCGCGAAAACCAACTTTTCCGTCGCTCTTTGAATTACAATGAAAATCTTTCACTTACTATCGGGATCTCCAAATACTTGATCCACAATTTGTTCCGAGAAAAATGACGAGGCTTCAATTGCGTCTTGAATGGAAATAATTGGAGTCTTGCAGTCCGTGTAAGTGATCTTCACTTTCTCAGCAGCTTCATCTGCCAAGCTTTGAGTGTCTATAACAGATGATTATGTTATTCTTAAAATAATTATCCATTTTTGAGAAATATTTCACAAAATTGGACAATCCTTTGCGTAGACCATTCGTTAGGGACCGGTCTTAAAGTAATTACTAGAGGGGGATGGAGGATAAATGAAATTTCAAGTACATATTTCCATACCCTCCCAAAAACCTATGGAAAAATTTTCGTAACCCCCTTCAATGTAAGCGAAAATTTTCATACACCCCCTCCCCCTTTTCTATCAATAATTCTGTTTTAACATTTGTCTTGCGTTTATCTATATTTCGAAACTCTCCAGTTTGTGATAGCTCTCCCACTTCTTGTAGTGGTAACCATATATCTTCACTCAACATTTTCCGCAGTCTCCGATTCGTCCCCAGTCTTTTCTGTTTCTAATTCTGACATACTAGCGATGGGTTGAGAGTAAATAAAAAACAGAAGAAAAAAATTTTTGGTTTCAATTTCGTGCTCAGAGCCATCGTTGAGCTCTGGCAACGAGATTGGGTTTATTTTAAACAGAAAAAATTGTTTCCGTTCAATGTGACACTTCCTCGTCAGGTTCTAATGGTGTTCTAATTTGGATTATTTACAATAATTACAAGGAAAAGGTGAAATTAAATTAAGTTATATACAAATTATTTTTACACTAGGCTACAGTTTAATTTTGAATATTTTCAGTGAAGTGGAATTCCTAATTTCAATTGGCATTGAATTCCATACCGCTGCACATTATATTCAAGACTATTTTTCAAACAAATTGTGTTTGATTTAGGGATAACAAAGTTGTAGTGATCACCTCGTGTACCGTGACTGTGAATTAAATTCGCTCGATTAAATGGCCGTGAAAGATAAGATGGACCTAATTTGTGGAATACTTTGAACATTAGACAAAATTTTTGTTTCATAGTCGCCTATCTTCCAGTGTCGGCCAATTTAAGATATTCAAAATTTGGGAAGAGCGTATTTCATAGTTGCTCCCAGTAATTGTTCGAGCTGCTCGATTCTGATTAATTTTTGAAGTTCATCCCTTAAACCTTTTCTGCAATTATCCCACACAAAACTACAGTAATCAGCAAGTATGCTAGCTTTTGAACAAGTACACTTATTGAAAATATTGGCGAAGAACAAATCTTGTATGTCTGTACGAGTCAACAAAGAAAATTTGGCAAAGTAATTTGAGCACACAAAATATAAAAATTTTGACCAGTTTTATGCGATGCATAAATTAAATTAAATTCATTTCGGCATCGCAATTTACTTACTTGCAATGATAAGGCCAACTGCTTGGCCAGCATAATCCACATCTCCATCACAAAATATTTTTTCTTTGGTATTGAACATATCGCAACCAGCAACAAAATTATTCTCTCCAGGAATATCTTTGGCAGAAATATACTTGAACACACCAGGAATTTTCTAAAGCAATTATACATTTTCGTATAGGCTGCGTTCAGACTGGGCACATGTTTTGGCGTCTAGTTTGAACACGATGCTTCCAAATGAAATTGGGCACAGTGTCCAAGAAAGGGCACTAATTCTAGAGGTAGTACTCAACAACGGCACTGCGCTCAATATGGTTTGGGAACCAGTTTGAACATTGAGCACCAGTGCCGGGCACTCAGTTCTGAACGCAGCCTAAATATTCATTTTCTCATTATTGTGACTATACGTTTGTCTGATTGCTAGTGTTTCCCACGGGTATACTGTAGGTATTGTAAGTAGTAATATAGGGGCCGACCGGCCCTTATTTTTGAGGAGGAGTGAGGAGGAGGAGCGAGGAGGATTGAGGAGGAGGAGTGAGGAAGAGTGAGGAAGAGTGAGGAGGAGTGAGGAGGAGTGAGGAGGAGTGAGGTAGTGGTGTCTGGTCAACCGTTTCGCTACTTCTAAATGGGTACTTAACCAATATTTTAAATTTTAGAATTAGGTATATACCTGAGCAAACCTACCCCTAACACCTAATCCCCAACCCCCAACCACCAACCCCAACACCCCCCCCCTGCGACACGTTTACAAAGTTAATGTGGTCTGCTTCTTAGAGCATAATGTGTTTGATTTTATTTAAATTACGCACAACAATTTAAATGTTTTGAATACCATAGTACCACAGAATACCAGTCTTATTTATTTCTTATATAAAATTTGGAGGAAATATGCTATAAACTTTATTTTTGTGATTATATATCAGTTTTAGTCTTAATTGACATATAAAAACAAAAAATGTATATTTTCTTAAAAATTCTTAAAAATAATCAGGATTAACAAGAAGTAACATTTTATATTTTTGGTACTTTTTTTCGGATAGGGCCTGTAGAATCCAAATGTTTAAAAATAAGTTCGCAAACTCGCATAATTTATGTTGATCAATACTTTTTCTATGCAACACAACATTATTACTACACTGGAATCACACAGTGTAATCAATTTTACCATTGAAAAACTGCATTTTACAGAATTATTGATAAACCTGGTATTCTTTGGTTATACCACTGGTATTCTGCACTGATTTTAGTGTTTAACTTTCACTAAATTAAGTTAGCAATATCCCACAGTATTATCGTACAACATGACACACCAAATCCTGGTACAATTTGATAAACCGTTCCTTACTTACCTCTGCACAGGTATTCTGTGGTACAGTGGATTTTTTTCCACAGAATATTCGTTTAAAAAAAATAATTAAGTCTATGAAATCTTGCCCCAAAACCCCCAGGAAGAAAAAATATATCGATAGACTATACTAAAAAATATTAAGGAACTATATTATATACATTAGACAAAAGATATGGAAAATGTAATTTTTTGCGGTATTCTGTGGTACATACACCTGTAATAAGAGTTCTTTGGCTTAATTGTTCATTCGCCATGGTTTCTATACTCCTAGTCCTACATCGACCCCACATCAACCCTACATCGACTCTACATCGACCTCACATCGACCTTACATCGACCCTACATCACACCCACATGTCGCCGTAAAAAAATATAAATGATTCTTCCATATCCTTATCTTCTTATCTTTATCTTATTATCCTTATCTTTATCTTCCTTATCTTTCTTATCTCTATCTCGTTATCCTCCTTATTCTTATCGTTATCATCCTTATTCTTATCTTTATCTTCCTTATCCTTATCTTTATCTTCTTATCTTTATTTTGCTTATCCTTATCCTTATCTTCTTATCTTTATCTTATTATCCTTATCTTTACCTTCCTTACATTTATCTTCTTATCCTCCTTATTCTTATCTTTATCTTCCTTATTCTTATCTTTATCTTCCTTATCCTTATCCTTATCTTTATCTTCTTATCTTCCTTATCCTTATCCTTATCTTCTTATCTTTATCTTATTTCCTTACCTTTATCTTTATCTTTCTTATCTTCCTTACCTTTATCTTCTTATCCTCCTTATCCTTATCTTTATCTTCCTTATTCTTATCTTCTTATCTTCCTTATCCTTAATAAGCTTCCCGCTATATTGATATGTTCAACACAACTTAGGCTGGGAGCCGAGCTCTTTAGGCTCGACGCCAGCCAGCTCCTTACGCTCGGAGCCAGCTCCTTAGTCCTTAGGCTTGGAGCCGAGCTCTTTAGGCTCAGGGCCGAGCTCTTATAGACTCGGAGTCGAGCTCCATAGGCTCGGAGCCGAACTCCTTAGGCTCGGAGCCGAGCTCTTTAGGCTCGGAGCCAGCTCCTTAGGCTCGGAGCCAGCTGCTTAGGCTTGGAGCTGAACTCTTTAGGCTCGGAGCCGAGCTCTTTCCTAAGGAGCTGGCTCCGACCCTAAGGAGCTGGCTCCGAGCCTAAAGAGCTCGGCTCCGAGCC